CCACAGATATGAAAGATATCATTACCACCAGTCAAATCAGAGGAGGATAATAAATAATCTCAAAATTCTATTTCAATTCACATACATTATAACATTCTAACAAGTTACTTACTTTGACTATAAAAACACTCGTCTTATTTCCTATCTGATTGTATTTTATTGATAACACTAATATTATTATTTCTGAATGTACTTTATCTTATATTGGTTTTATTCAAATGAGTGTAATCATCAATTTTTACTCATGTATATAAATGACGAAGCAAGAAAGTTGTGTGAATAGTGCCTTGATATGATGATTATGAGCGGTAATAATTTGTGTTCGAAAGGTGGGCATCCGTGAATACTACTGCATAACAAACACTGTGTGATTTTATCAAAATAGAGAAACTCATACGAGTTTCCGTTTAGAAGATAACTAGTCAAGGGCGTAAAATGAATGCAAAGCAGCATGGGGTTCCATACTACAATTTAGCCTGGTCATTGATCGGAATGCGAAGCACCATAGGTTGTATGGATGATTATGAATTTGTCATTGTACACAAATTTTAGAATCTACTTCTCACTGCACTCTAACAGACATTACTCAAACGTCATTTAGAAGCAAGTGAGCAATAATTACACGTATATTGATGTAACATTCAGCAAATTCCGTTTTACCATAATTGTACTTGACACTCAAACAATTCCTGTATTTGATAGTGTGGAAAATCCCCGTATTATGAATTAAAAGTCAATCTGAACGAAGAATATTCTCTTCAACAATTTCTCTTCAGGTTCTTACAATTATAAAATATAATATTTGTCATGAAGAAAATAAAAGACAGATTCAGCGAAGAAAATTTTCTTTATCGACGAAATCATCTTCAGAGGCTGTACAATCGTATTTATACTTACAAAAAATATATAGTGGTCTATTATTGAGTAATAGGGGGCAGGGTGACATAATTGATATAATTACTCAGAAGTGGCTTTAGAAGTGAAAATTAGAAGTTGAAAATTACGTGGTACTCAACGGCAATAATGACAGCCAGTTATGCGGCGGATACAATTTTAACGTAGAATAACAGATTATTAGTTATGGGGTGTCAAAATAATTAGTCATATTTGTGTGACAAACGTGCTAGGCTGAATTCGATTACAAAATATTGTAAAACGGGAGACAATGGTGATGAATCATAATAGATTTGTAGAGTGTGGGGTAGGAAAATTGACAAGTCAGTTCAAGGTTATAAAAGGTGTCAGGTGAGTGAGTGGCTAGTACAAAGTGGTCTGTGTTAAACAGGAGATAGTAAGACTGCAATGGGAGGTTCATAATGAGATAACGAATATGTGAAATGAAACAGGTGGAGGCATATATTGAGAAAAGAGATAATATCACTAATAATAAGTCCGGATAGTATAAACGAAAAAATTCGATAGTATTGAGAGAATGTTTGCATGAAGGGCATGAATTATGACGAATAACAATAATAATTGTAATAATAATATTTGTAATAATAAGCAAAGCAAAAAAAGGCCAAGAGGGTTAAGGGTAAGGAGCACTCTTGGTGAGAAGAAGAATCATCAATCCAAGTTTGGCCACGGTAGGAACAGCGTCTGGACGTGTTCTTTTTGGATACAAAGTTCCGGTTTAGTCGATCTTATTGCAACAGCTTCAGCTATGTATAGAAGACGTAAGCGAACTGTACATGATAACGACTTCGGAATTCGGTATATAACCCTGAAAGCTGTGTTGACATCGATATGATGTCCAGTATCTACCAAGTGTGACAGGATCGAGCTTTTTATGCACTTAATTCCCCCCTTACTGAACCAAGCTGGTAAATGTTCTCGAACCCGTAGACGAACCTACCTAATCGTGCGCCATATATAACTTGAACCACAGGAACAGTTGAAATGGTATATGCATGAAGAAGAGCTAAGCTTAGGTAAGACATCTTTGAGTTGCTGGGTGAACATTGGACGGCTACTGAAGGATAGACACAGACGTGCAGAGTAGAAAGTTTTCTTGATCACCCTGTTTCACTTCACATATTCGTTATCTCATTATGAACCTCCCATTGCAGTCTTACTATCTCCTGTTTAATACAGACCACTCTGTACTAGCCAATCACCTGACACCTTTTATAACCTTGAACTGACTTGTCAATTTTCCTACCCCACACTCTACAAATCTATTATGATTCATCACCATTGTCTCCCGTTTTACAATATTTTGTAATCGAATTCAGCCTAGCACGTTTGTCACACAAATATGACTAATTATTTTGACACCCCATAACTAATAATCTGTTATTCTACGTTAAAAATGTATCTGCCGCATAACTGGCCTTCATTGTAACGACAACAAATATTATATTTTATAACTGTAAGAACCTGAAGAGAAATTATTGAAAAAAATATTCTTCGTTCAGATTGACTTTTAATTCCTGTGTTCACTAACAGCATATGTGCAAAAATCCACTTGAATTGGATGAAATATTTGTCAAATCTGCCTACCTACTGAAAGAGCAAAAGGAGTAAAAGTAATTCGCGAAGCACAAATCAGGCAGTGGAAAATGACAGAAACTCTTGAAAAACGACTGAAAAATGTCACCAACAAATACGTTGATCATAATAATAATTTATATTTCGTATAAACGGGAAAGTTTACATGAAATGCATGTCATTTTTACAGGCACAGTCAGTTATGTTAAGAATTACAATTGTGAATTAGCATACATTATCACTTTTTTAAAAAGTTCAAATTGTTGAATTATAGTACAAGCATTGGAACAGATTCTTATAATTGTTAATTTGTAAATCTTTCACGAAGGTCTCCATCGAAGCTGAGCGACAACCCATACTTCGTTCCATTTCCTGATGATAGTAATGGCCTATCGATAAACAAAATATATATTTGAGTGAGTGCTATGACCCCGCGTGCTTGAACGCTCTTTCAGGAAGAGGAGAAAATCCTGCACAGCCACAAAGTGGTATAAAATGCAATCATGAATAATACATTATTGGAAGTATATTTACAAGAAAAATGCAAGAATAAGCTATACAGTACTTGATATGATAGTGCACATTTGCAATGTTTGATGCTAACCATATTGGTCTTACCATGGAAAACTATGAAAATAAAGTTATTCTCGAACATGAGTGTTGTTATGCTTTTTTTATCATCAGAGCAACCGAACTTTATGCGAGAGAAGAGTGTAAATGAGAGAAAAGAAATATAAATTTCATCTTTATCAAAGTACTAGGAAGTTGAGATAAAATAGGGAATAATAGTAATTAGGTAGAAGGATTATCGTGAAGTATATAAGTGACATTTCAGAGAGAAGTGGCTTGAAGGATTAGAACGTGTTAGATATGGTGACCTATAGGATGTCTGGCGAACTTATGTATGACCCATGGGGTAGCATCTTGACAAGAAACTGAGCAGGCTTGTAGATGTTAGGAGCGAAAGCATAATTTAAATCTGTACAGATTTCCATTTAGACGATTGGAAGTCACTTACGACTGGTTCAATCATACAATATCTGACTGAATTTTTTTCATTTTAATTCACAGAATTCGCAGTCAGCTTCAGCACAGTTATAAATCATGAAAGTCATCAAAAATACATACCTGAATACAGAAACATGAACTGACAAAATGATGAAGAATGACTGAGGAAGTAGTTGAAAAGTAATTACAATAAACAAAACCTAACAGAGTCGATTCAAATTTACTTGTGAACGACAAGGAATTTATGAATATTTAGACCAGCTGTGAAGAACACTGAAGAAGATATTTCAGTCGCATAGACCTAGTAGACACTAAATGCAATGTAGACTCACAGGAAGGTCGTCTATCGGAATATGTCATACAGAAGTGTAAATTAGATGTCAGATAGACAAAACTCAGTCTGAACCAAACAAATGACTAGATGCATGAAATTAGTTACTGCTCAGAGTCGAGTCAAATGATTCATTACAGTCCCAAGTGAGGTCAATTGTTATACCGAATGGCACGTAGGTAACGTCTCTGAATCTAAGAGGAAACATAATTTCTTCCATGACTATAGTTATGCCTATTGACAGTTGGCGAAACAGGCGGGGAGTCTTGCTGACTGCCCCAAGCCAACTAATAGAAACAAGTCACAGTGCGCCATGGTGACTCACTTACCATGGTGGCCACATTTCAAACTTGACTGATAAAATTCAGTCTACACCAGAATCAGGCCTAGGCATGTTGCACTAGTCGCTACCTGCTGTCAAATTAAAGTATTCAACATCATGTGGTGTCTTCAAGTACCTAGTAAATTTCTCTGTATAAATACTCAGATATCTCCTAGGTTATATACAAATGATAACAAATAAATGATGCCATCATATTCTGTTTCAAACACCGTTTTGCTCAATTAGAATTCATAAGGGTATTAGTCACAGTGATTATGAGTAATCTTTCGATGGAATGAATAACTACTCAAATAAATTTAATGAATTTCAGAAATATTACTTAAATAAATTTATTTTGCAAGAGTTTTTTGAGAGAATTTGATTTGTTTCAAGATCGGTCACGAAATGATACAGCTGGAGAACCACTGCAAACCTGCATGTACTGTAAAGCTGTTTCGTCCTAGTTTGGGACGTAGATGATTGGAGTTAAAGTGAGAAGCGGTGATCAGCTGGGTCCATACAGCCGGGAGCGACGACAAACAGTCACCGATGTCATTGGTTTGCAGTGTTAGAAGTTAGAATTCATAGGTCACTGAGTCTGGTGCCGGTGACTGGATGGTCTATGGACTTGCTTTGTAACCAGTATGCCCTGGGTTCGAAACCCAGTGAGTATGTCCTACCCATGATTCTCAAACAAGGTGAAAAAAACAGTCACCCAGTACTTGCAGCCGGTTTTTACCAGGTTTCCAAATGATAACAATCTGTGATCAAACTTGAAAAGATCTATGTCAGAGAAAGATATTCAAAGATATATGTAGAGTTATACATAGTGTTTTAAAAAATCTTGAAATGCCACTAAAGGTCAGTTATTAATGTTACAAATTGTCTAACTGATGTCAGTTCATGATTTAACCTAAAGTCGATCAAATCAGTACTAAACGCCACTTGAAAATTTCATCTGGCGCTCATTATTGTCTTGGTTACAGAATGCAGTCCACTGAGGCTCTAGTAAGAGGTAGGGATCAGAGGAGTCTACTAAGACAAGTGTTAGTGCAGATAATCATAGATGACATTGATTGAACAGTGGTTCTATGTGGTAACGAACTGGCGAAAAATGGAAATCACCAGCCAAAGCAGTCAGATCTGAATTCTGTCCCGTCTGCGTGAGGTGGTGGGTGTGTACTGCCAAAGCCGCCGAAACTAGGACAAAGCAGCTATTCAGAAACCCACGATTTTCAATCTCTGTCCAACTGATTTCAGTAAGCACGGGATTTAAGTGAAAAAATATTTCCACTGTATGAAATTTTTCGAAAAAAAAGCTCCTTACATAGTCTTTTAATTGCCTGTATTATCTATGGGGAACTCATTCCGCAATATTTTTAACGCTTTTATTATGCGCTGAAGTTTTTTTAGCAGTTCGATTGGTTTCCTGGGGTAGGGTCACTAGCCTCACGCCCAACCCTCTATCTTTATCTGAGCTTGGAACAGGCTAGAAAACTAGCAAGCTTGAAAATAAGGTGAGGTTAGCGACCACAACCAGCACCAATCACACTGCCAATGGGACAGATTTTAGCGAGGATACTTCCCTCACTTATCCGATTAAGAAGAACGGTTGAAACCACAGGCAGTCGGAGTGGAGGAAGATGTCAACACCAGTCAGAATCGGAAAGAAAAGATACGCCTTCATCAACCTGAAACATGTTAAAAAATCTTCTGCACTCATTCCTACATAGAACAAGATTCGGATTCTATTCAACACAAATGTGAATTCCGTCAGTCAGTTCTTTTATACGGGTCAGAAACATGGCTGGTATGTTACAAAGAGAATTTCCAATAAGGTACATACTTTTATCAACAGGTGTCAACTTCTCTGGCTCCATATTGAAGATCAAATGATCAATCGGCGGGCCAGAAAGAATTACCAACAATAAACTCTCCTTGGGACCGAACGAAAAGGCGAGAGCCGATTGCATTCGTTGAGGAGGCCGTCGAATGACATCACGGACAATGAAGACCATGGCTTTGGTGAAATTCGAATGGGAAGCTACAAGTGGGTCGTCAGTGAGAGGATGAAATGGAGGAGATCGTGTGGTGAGTTGGAAGAGATGAGAGATTATGGGGAATCATCTACCCAGCTGAAAAGGACAGCATCAAACCGTACAAAGTGGGGATGTATTGTTGAAGCCCTGTGTTCCACTCAGAAGTCAAAGGGATAATATATGAACAAATTAAAAGGAACACTAATGGGATCGCCCATATTAGGTTTAATAGCTGAAGCCGTTATGCAAAGATTAGAATTAATAGCTCTACCTATAATTAAACCGAAAATCTGGATACGTTACGTTGATGATACATTTGTAATAATTAAGAGAAGTGATTTAGAATATACTCATAAATTAAGAAACAACATATTTGAAGACATCAAATTCATAAGAGAAGAAGAATTAGATAAGAAAATCCCATTTTTAGATGTCTTAATCAGGAGAACCAACACAGGAGATTTAGAGACACAAGTTTATAGAAAATCAACGCACACAGATCAAATACTCAACTATACTAGCAATAATCCAGTTACTCACAAACGAAACTGTGTGCAGACATTGTTTAAAAGAGTTCAGACACATTGTAGCACTCCAGAGTTGACAAGAATGGAATAAAAGTACCTACAAACGGTCTTCAAAAAGAATGGTTATCCACAAAATTTCATCAAAAAGTGTTTAAAGTCGAATCAAAGCACCAACAAAAAACCATCATCAAAGACCACAAGAAAATTCATTCTACCATACATGAGGAATATCTCTGAAATAACAGCTAGAATACTGAAACCGTCAGATATAGATATAGCACACAAGCCAGTAAAATCGCTTAATTCGATATTATACAAACCAAAAGATCCAACAGAAAAAGGGGATAAAATTAATACCATCTACAAAATAAATTGTATGAACTGCAACAAACATTACATCGGCCAAAGTGGGCGTCCCCTTCGGATTAGAATCCAAGAACATAAATCAGCCGTGAAAAGACATGATATGTATTCTTTAGTATCAATGCATACAGACAATTATGGTCATCAATTTGATTGGGATCATGTCAGAATCTTAAACAGAGGAAACACGAAAAGTGCCAGAGAATTCCTAGAAGCCTGGTACTCAAGCGGAAATGCAATTAACAAACACGTTAATATAGATGAAATATACCAACTAATAAAAAGTAAATCAGGTGACGAGAAAGTTTAAAATCCAAGTCAATAGAAAATGATCAATAAATATGTAAAGATGGTTACCAGGAGACGCAATTACATCACGCATGAAGAAATTTAAATCATTTCACTTTGTGCTAAATAATTTATTTAAATAAATAATTTATTTTAAATAATAATAATTTATTTATTCTCTTTATTCAAATAAATGTCCAAAATAAAATTAGTAACAGTGTGTTATACTTTCATTACACGAAAAGTATGATTATTCACATTATCGACTCCAGAAAACGATTACAGAATGTTCAGTTACAGTTCAGTTAGACGTCAGCAACAATTCTATCATTCTATCTCATACGCATAGATGACTTGTTCACACTTCAATAAATCCAGCATAATAATGTATACGTCTCATTTCGTCAAGTAAATCACGCCTTTCTCGTCATAGTACTGATAATGACAACAATTATCGGAGTAATTACATGCAATCGTTTTGTTTGTGTGCATGTGCGTTTGTATGATGGAGTACACGTGAATAAAGCACTGTAAAAACAGCAAATCTACACTTTATCGATAGTGAGAACAATCAACAAGATTGCGTAGGTGGGTCGGTGGGTGGTTTAAGTGAGAGTGAGAATTCTCAAAACATACCATCTCTTTTTGTAAAAAAGAGGGTGTACGTGATGATTAAATTATGAATGCATGACTTGATTTTGTCAATCATCACACAATATGGACAGTTATGCGGTCATCATCTAATCTACACAAAATTTTCGCGTGAAAAGTTTAACTCCTTAATAATCACCAGAATCATAAATCCAAATAGTGATGAGC